AAAAAATCACAGCGCCAAGAGCATTAATTCTGCTAGTTCACCAGGCCCTTAACATGCTAAGAGGAAAAGGTCAGCCAGCCTACATTAAAGCTTCATTTCAAGAGACCCTCAAAGCAGTCAGACCTTAGACTTGATGAAATTTGGAAAGACAATTTCTACCTGATGTGAACGTTTCTATCTAACCAAGAGATTAGGTGATTTCATGGAAACAATAGCATGTTTCAAAATTGACAGCATTTGGTAGGTGTCCAGCTGAACAAATGGGGCTGGACACTGTTTATGTGAAATCTGTAACTACTACACAAAACAAGAGAGACTTGAAATTTAACACGTGGAAGGCTGACATCTTGTATATACAAGGAACTAGAGCTGGAGTTTTACAGAAATCTCACACTGCCAATTTTCTAAGCAGATCTATTGTAGTACTTAGAAGCCCTGCTTCATTTACTTTCTCCCCTGACAACTTAATTCCTTAGCTACATTTGAAAGTTAAAAGCTCAACTAAACTGTCCTCTTTACAATGTAATATGCAGCACAACTACTTAGCATTTGAATTTAATAGTGCAGAGACATAACAGCTACCTCCCTCCTGCTTCTTCTTTACAGAGAAGGCAAGAAAGGACATTGGATGTAAGGACTTGTACTGGTGGTTCATGCATATTTTAGGAATCCCAAAGCTATATACTTTGCAACTAAAAACCTGGGGGGGCGGGAATGACAGAGCGAGGCAGACACACATGAACAGGAAAAGATTTCTTGGATCTCCCAGCATGAAATTCCTTTAATTTACATTTATAGCACACAATCTTGCAGAGGGCTTACTATTCTCAGACAACCAAAAAAGGAAGAAGAAAAGGCAGGCATGGTGGCTTTGCAACCAGCCTTTCAGTCTATAAAGACGTTCATCATAAAGAGCTCAAGCACTAAGTGTTTTGGTTAAACTTCAAAACCAGGTCCCACTCATAGCTGGAATAACAGATTTTTCTTCAGAAAGTCATCCAATTCCATACCTTGGGGGAGCAAAAATATCTTTTTTTTTTCCCCTTTATATATATTGGTCAATTCAAGAATGGTAAACACAAATTCTTTCTGATTCAGCTGAATCCTTGGTTACCTAAATGAATAATCCTCAGGCTCCTGGAAAGTATAAGGACTGCAGGAAGGCATGGAAAGAGGAAACCATATATTCTGTCAAGGCTCTGCATTGTTCGTGTCAGAAGAGACAGTCCTGGAGACCGAGCACTCAGTCCTTGCCCACTAATCCAGAATTTTACAGAAGGAAATAGGTCTATTTACAGTTATAACCAGAAACAACTTTGCATTCTTCCTTTCCTAAGATCTCACTTCTGAGCAAGTGCAGCTACTTTTAGAGCAGAGGGCACCCTGCTGGCAGATAACTTGAGCACATCTACAGATACTGGCCAAAAAAAAAAAAGGGGGGGGGTCCTGCCAGACCCATCTAACGAGAAAAAAAGGGAAAGAAAGAAAAAAAAAGGTCATCAGCTCTTCTCCACACTCTATCGCTGTCTTCACTACATAAAACAGTTGTTCCTTGGATGGGAAGAAGAACCATGGAGCAATGATAACTTTAATATGCACGAGGTAAATATTCTTTTGTAGCATTTGACTTGCATGAAAAACAGACTATCATGGGTTTCCATCACATGCTGCTAACCTGTTAAGATGTAGCCTCGTGTAGCCTGATTTAGAGAGCAGAGGACTTCATATTACGAACTTATCTTAAAGATCCAAAGTATAATTCACAGGAGTCAATTCAACATCCTGATGGGATGCACAGCTTGCTGAGTTTCCAACATTTTTGCATATTGCATGGTTCAAGGAAGACTATTATTTGCATCAAGCCTTTACAGATGCCTCCTTGACATGACAGCTCTGTCATGTCATATTATTGCTGTTCAAATAGATATGAAAGTTTGACTTTCCAGCTTCAAATACTTTAACACAACTTGTGTCCACATTTCAATGTTTCTGTATCAGTTAAAACTAATTCTAGAGGTAGTCTAGGTATTCGTCTTCCAGTGAAAAACAAACCTGCACAGGACTAAAGTCTTGAGCACCACTTGATGAGAAATTATGCTCTTGTTTAAGAATCCTAAAGCTGAATTTTTGTAAATATATAATGTAACCTCCATTTTTAGATCAACAAGCTAAAACTTTGCAGATCTGGAGAAAGTTCTCCTAGCAGATATTTTCCGCTTTGCTTCTCTGTCTTTACATTCACTGACAATCATTATTCCCACATCCAATTATTTAAAATGGGAGCTATGAATGGAAACACTAGTTGCTTCCAAACCTTATTCAACACAGATATGTAATTTCTTATAATGAACAGCAGATCCTTGTTCAGTCGCATTACACTGTAAAATATCAAAATTCTCTGCTGATGACCAAAAATCTGGAATGTTGCTGCCCTCTAAGTTCCAGGAGCGTTTGTACAGCATGATCTCCACTATCACTATAGAATAATTTAGGCTGGAAGGGATCCATGGAAGCCATCTGGTCCAAGAAACTGCTCATAGCAGGGCCAACTCTGAAGCTAGATCTTGCTGCTCAGAGTCATATTCAATGGAGTTAGAAATACATTTAAGGATGGAGCTTTCGGGGTCTCACTACACAAACGGTTTCATCACACTCGCCATGAAAAAAATTTCTACTACCTACCCAGAATTTCCCTTATTGCAAACTGCAATCAACCAAAAAAAGAAAATCAAACATCCCCAAAGCAAAGTATAAAATTCAAATTAACACATGTGACAAGAACAGGAAATAAAGATGTATGTCTGTAAACTTACTCAAATACTTTAGAATGAAGTATCTAATTGATCCAGAAGGCCCCAAAAATATAAATGCCAAAGAAACCTTTCTTTTGATACATTATGCAGGTAAATTATATTCATATTTGCTATTAGCAGTAGGAAAAAAAAAGTCTCCCATGCAGATACACTTAATACAAACAGCTGTATGATGCAACTCTAATGTAGCATGCTTGAAAACGGAAAGCAAGCACAAGAACCACATGACAAGTCAATACAGCGGACTAAGAAATCTCAGGGTATTAGAATTTTTATTCCTGGAAAGGGCACATTTTAGTTAATCTCAATTCCAAGTAAGATTTCCAAAATATAAAAAAATACATTTTCTGCTGAAATAGTAAATGCTGTGACTTAAGGGGAATAATTTATTGCTTAGTACACCATTGCCTAGTGTTTAAATGCAAAATTGTGTTTCACATCAAGTAACTGAGCTTGTCCATAATACCATTAGAAATGGCAGTAATGAAAGGTCCATCAATTACCTGTTCCAGCAGACTGAAAATCCATCTTCAGCAGTCAAAAGGTTACCCTAAGTTGATTTTCTAGACACTCTCTCTACAGTCAACAAACAGAGGCAACGTGATGCATCTCATGCATGTAAGGATGGAAAATTTCACAAAAGCTTCCTCCCTCTCCACTAACTTTGATTAGGTGCCTAATATTTACACTGCCTACCTTAATCTGATCTAGTTTGAATATTGCGGTACTTTTGAGGTGGGAAAGTAGATTTAAATAAAAGGTAGAAAATGTACAAAAACAAATGACTACAGTGATCAGCAGCCTAGCCAATTGCTTTAAAAGAAAAAAAAAACCCACTTTAACACATTATTCTCCCAGTCTTTCCTACCCCATCCCAATTAAGCATCAATTTAATTATAGGTTCAAGAATAACTTAAAACATGTGGCATGTTTAACTCAAGTGTTTACCTGTGATTAAGAGCAACACATATACAAAACCCATTAATTTAATTTATCATCATTTTGCAGTAAGTGAACATTACCAATGACATTTAATTGTTACCTAAGTCTTATGAATAGCTAAACACCTAATACAAATATCCAAATGATTATTAAAGATGAAGCATTTAAAGTGTTAGCAATAAGATGCTCAGCAATGCTAACAAGCCTAGTAGCCCTTTCTAGAAGAATATTAATTTACACTTGTTCTTTCTGAACAATGCTTTGTACAGTAAAAAACCCTAGATTTGTGTTTTTTGTGCTTCCCTTGCCCCACCTCAGTTACACCTCCCCGCCCCCCAGATAGCTTTGCTCTCAGACTGAACTACTAGACTGCCAAACTTGACGGTAGAAATCCCACCGACTTCAAGGGTCCATGATCTCAGCTTCAGAGTCCTGCTCAAATTCTCTTTGGGAATAAAATCCTTTTTTTTTGTGTAATGTGCAATGTGCAAGCTTTCTCCAGTGCTATCAAAAATGTGTGCGGCTAAGAACTTCACAGAATAAAATGCTAGCAATTGAAAGACTTTCTGATTTCCAAAAGCTCTAATAAGGACAGATGTTAGATAATTTTTACAGGAATTACAGTTGAAATGTGTTAAGTACAGATGCTGATTAGGTCAGGTAGCCTCCAATTTCACTAGGCATAACCAGTGTTTTTATTCAAGTTCTTCCACTTCATCTGTAAAAAGGTCAGCCAGATCTGCCACCGTCAGAACTGAGGCTTCTGACTGTTTCATGGAGGAGCTCGTGTGGCTATGGGGAAAAAGTTGAAATCAAGCATCAGCAAGAGAATGAACTTAAGCAATATGCTATATGCAGTGAAGACAGACATCAAATTGCATCAAACAACTGCTCAGCTCCAAAGCTCAGCAGAGAAAACACACTTTCTACTAGGCAAAACACAAACATTGACCACATCCATCTCTTGCACAGCCTGAGCAAGATACAAAGTTTATCCCCTGTTCCTAGCAGTACTCCACCCCAGAGACTTCAGAGGCAGCACAACAAGGGGCAATCAGCTTTGTCCATTAACATTTAAGGGATTATCTTCAGACTCCAAGAACCAGGTTTGATGTTGCTTTCGAGATTAAGTTTCGCTAGCTCATTCACCCACTGCACCTTTTATTGGAATTGAACATGCAAAAGTAGTGCTGCTTTACAGATGTGGAAACAAGCAAGACCATTCTTTCAATTTTAAGCTGAAATCCTTTGTAACTACAGCCAAAGACATGGAAGTAAATGTTAATTTCTTAAAAATTAACAGTCATAAAAAACTGTGGAAAAATAACTAGTTTTCCTTAAATATTGCCTCTTCCTAGACTTGTTGTGTGGATACAGTGTAGTTAGAGGAAGAGAACTCTTGCACTTTCTGCACAAAGAATCTAAATATCACTTTAGTTCCAAGCCCCGTCTTTTTATTGCTTATAGTTTTTGGCAAGGAGAAACACAATGAAAACTGCTTTCTGTTTCCTCACACCAGACTGACTTATGAGCTGGCATCTGGACAGCTTTTACATTGACTGCAAAAACAACCAGTGTGACGCAGAAGCTACGCATCATATTTATGGAATTTAAAAATAATTAAGAAAGAACAAAAATCTTACAGTACTGCTTAAAACCCTCACTCTCTGGTGACAAACTCCGTTAATCTCAGTCCTTATATGCTAGTGGATACTAAAGGAAATGTGTGAACTGAAAGGTTTGATCAAGCCCCATGTTCATGCCCCTAAAGCATAATTTGTTATTTGGGTTTTCATATAATAACATAATTTGTTATTTGTTATTTTGGGTTATTGGGTTTGAAATAAAATATCTACAACATAGGCAAAATATTTCCCCGAAAATTAAAATTCTTAACCTGGCTCAAGTGTGTTGAAGGTTAAGAGATTCATTTTCAAGTCCTAAAGTTTTTTTTTTCCAGTGCAAATAATTTGAAGCATAGCAAAAAACATTACATATAAGATACTTTCACTTAGTTGTAAAAAAAGTGTAGTTGAAGCCCACCTTTTCATTTTGATTGCAATACTAATGTTTTAAAAAATTCAACACATACCTTCTGTCTACAGTTTTCAGCATAGTCTGCATTTTCTCTTCTATTGTTGCTTTTATCAGGAACCGGTGAACAATGGTAGGCCTGAATGGATTTGAAAAAAGAAAACCAAAAGTGAGCAGAAGAAATGTCACTGTCAGAAGACCAAGAGCAAACTTTGTCTTGTACTAATCAATTTCGTATTACTGAAAAACACCACCTCTGGATTTTAAGAGGAAAAATCTCCCCAGGTGACTAGCAGTTTGCATTGGCATTTACTGGTGTTTAGTATGTCCACACATGTCCATGCAGGATCACATGCTAAATGAATATAAGCCTTAGCAAGTAAAATCCTGAAGCAGATGCTAAGCAAAGTTCAGCCTTCTGTATCCTTACTATAAACAAAAAGTCCTCAAGTGCCCAGCATGTGGTTTACAGTAACAACTTTGGTCCACTGATTGTATGCAATGTTTTATGCTGCATTGTCACAAGCTGATCCAAGATACAATGCTCAGCATAATGGGTAACAGAAGCTCAGAGTTTAAATAATATTGTTTTCAAAGATGGCAAATGCTATAAGGCTTTAAAAGTCTTTTTTGACATAAAAAAACAACAAAAATCCAGTCGCAAAATAAAAATTAACAAAAGAAAGCTAAAGTGAAAAGATAAAATGCTAGCCATTAAGAAAGTGAAACCGAAAACAGTCACCTTCAAGGCTGCCCCATATGCATATTTTTCAATGGTGTGAACCTTGAAGAACTTGGATACCTTTCAAATCTTGAATTGAAATTTTCTGGGTAACAGTAGCAAACTTTTAAGTGTCCAGTACTACCCACTTAGCTCCTGTTAAGTGCAAAATGATTTTAAAGAGTTTCTCTAGACAACCTCATGTCAAGCAACCATTCAAACTGCAGGGACTATATAAATGTGTGTGTGTGTGTGTATATATATATATATATGTATGAAAAAAATGTGTGTATATATAGCATTTATATGTACATAATGCATAAAATATATATAGTACATATAAATACAGTCTTTTTAAAACAGTCAGAGCTTTTTCTCTAACCATAATAGATAGAGAACAGTACTCTGATCAAATGCAGCATGACACAAGAACAGCCCAAGTGAGTTAGACCAAAGGTCCATCTAAGAATAGTAGCAACAGAGTGTTAAAAAAAAAATCAGTTCAGTCACCTAGACTGACAATTCATTCAGATTTTCAGATAACAACATACAGCTCTCTTCTGGGCCATATCTGAACAAGCTACAGTCATTTTAACTCTTACTTCGTTTGGCCAATACGATGAACTCTGCCAATAGCCTGAAGCTCGTGTGCAGGATTCAGAATGGGCTCCACAAGCAGAACGTGAGTTGCTTCAATTATGTTTAATCCATTGGAACCAGTGTGAAGGGGCAGCAGCAAAATATTGATCTTGGGATCATATTTAAATGCAGACAGATTTTCCTAAGAGACAAACATCACAGCAGCATGACAAAATTTCCTCAGTAAAGAATGTGGTGGACATCTGAGACACGACCATCCACTGGACAGACATCAGGAAGTCACAGACTTCTTGCAACATCAGGTCAGCATGCTTCATTCTTATCATCCATACCAACAGTTCTTTCTTAAAACTGTTTATCTCCAGGGGTTTCATAATACTGACTTTAACTGGTTAGGATTTTTTAAGAATTACTGAATACAGAGATCAAAAATTATGCCAAATTTGCTGCTCTTTCACTTTCTCAAATGAAGCAAAAAAAGGAAGAAATTAACTTCTGTTAATTTTAACTTTCTCCGGCTACAATAGTTCAGATAAAAATATCCTTTACGTACCTGAAATTTATTAATTCCATTGATTTGAGAAAAAACCATGTTGTTGTCATACAATGCTTTTGAAATTATGTCCAATACATCTTGCCACTGCAAAACAAACACAATATAAGTCTATTAGAAATAGCAATGAAAAATAAAATGCACAAATAATGCACAAATAAATGTCTCAGCAGATAAAAAAGTGTTTTATAATATTAGCACTTCAAGTGACTGCACAGAGCTACTCAACATTTTGGTAGCTAAGCCAAATTTCTGAAATTATTACGATAGTCTTAAACTCACAGAACACACACACAAAAGACAGAAAATGGTGATAAATACCGTTGAGAAAACTAAGGATTTAGCTCCTGGATCTTTAAATTGAATTCTCTTCAGTGTTCGGACCACAGCTTCTACTTTGGTGGAATGACTTCCCTTCAAAAAGTAAAAGAAAATCAGTAGATTATTATACAACAATCCCTTTCAAATTCATTTTTTTTATATATAGCATTATATTAGGACTTATTTTATACATCTTTAAAGAGATCAGTAAAAACATTACACAACTGTCATGCTTCTTAAAAAAGAAGACAAAATTATACTTAGAGACTTGAAGAATCTTACCCTATTTAGATGGCAGCTTCCCACGCAGAGAGTAGGAACAAAACCCCCTAAGTGGCAACCGAAGGGAGGATGCGCTGCGGATCCCCCAGCTGCTTTTCTACCTCCCTGCTGTAGCACCCGTGCGGCACTGCAGGCTGCCAGCACCACACCCGGGCACCCATCTAGTGCTGCCAGGAGCTGTCCAGGCGCCTGCAGCAGCTGCAGCAGCTGCAGCGCGGTTGCAGCAAATGCGGCAGTTGGATCTGCAGAGGTTTAACTGCTCAGCAGCACAATCTCCAAAGAACCTTCCAGGTGCGTAGTTACCTTCCCCTCCCTTCACGATTCTTGAAAGGGGATGAAAAAAGCTACCTGAAGCCTTGCATTTTTGCTCGTTTTCCCAGTTTGACAACACTAAACCTAAGCTCATACTGTTGCACTCGTGCTATTGAGTTGAGCTTGTTTAGTGTATCCAGTTAATTATCTTCAAAATCTTTAGATATTGATAAATGTAATTAATTTAATCCTTGCAGGATTCTGCACTGTAGTGAAAATGTCTGTACATTCTGTCCATCTTCCACTCATCTGAAAGTATTTCACTGAAGTGCTTAATGAATTATCTCACATACAGAAACTGCAACAGACTCAAGGAAAAAGAAAAAAGAAAAAAGAAAAGATAAAAAACTGGTCTGCTTGTACATTTTGATTTCTGTATTCCTCTCCACTTTCCTCTTAATTCAGGGAGATGGTTCTGAGAAACAGTTCTTTACTATCTGCCTCTAATCCCTTCAGTATGCACTTTGTGTTACAATAATTTTACCTAACGTGTTCTTCCGCGAAGCCATTATTTAATTGCTTACTTGTTCTTACATGTTCAGTAATTTCATGCTGCAGTACTTTCAGCTGGACAAATATTGTTTTATTTCTGTCTGCACCTGTCCTCCAAATGCTGAATTAACTCTGTTGGCTTGCATCAATGCTGGATCAAATTTACAGAAGTTATGCTGCTTGCGGAGTTGGCAGAGGGGGACACCACCAGCCTAAGCACGAGCTGGGACCGAGGCCGGGCAGCTCAATCACTCCTGTTATGCAGCTGCATGAATGCCCCAGCAGAGCCATGCAGGAGACCTTCTGTAGCCTCCTTTATTAAAGGCTGCACTAGGCAGCACCATTTCCCCCCCCCACTTCAGGTCTTCTACAGTTATTCCAATTCTATCATGGATTCAAAAGTAAAACATTTTTTTCATGACATCTCTGTTGCACCTGGTGGACATCAATGCCCTGTTTGCAAAAGTCAGATAGGCTATTAAAAATGCCTCAGTCAGGAGGACTTAGAATCTGCAAGGATGAATGTGACACATTTGCAATTTTGTGGCAGCTCATAACCATATGTAATATGGCACTCATAACCATCTTCAGTTAGACCCGCGACTGATTTTCAGCACTTCCTATGTATTCCCCAGGTCATCTTCCATGGTTATTTTTGTGTTTTCCCGATACCACTCCCCTCCAAATCAGACACAATTCCTGCTCATGTGTTCTGATGAGCTTTTCCTCTGAAACATTTTGCAAAAAGAGGACAAAAACAGGCACTCTGTCTGTGGATAGAGCACTGTCTTCTCAGGCTAACATTTTTTGAAAGCATGTAAAGAAAATTTTTTCAGAAAAAAGAAAATTAAAAAAAAGCAAACTACATGTTCCTTGTTATCTGCCCAGAGGTGGTAACTGCCCAGATCATTCATAAACTGTGTTCACACAAAGGTATTTTGGCTACTATGTGCTCTGGGTTTTCAATTTGTCTTTAAAAAAGGTTGGTTGCCTGGTACCCATGCACCTTCATATTGTCTTTCTATTGAAGACCCAGACATTGCATTTATAAACAGAGCAGCGAGTTCCAATTAATTACAGAACAGCCCACACCAGAACCAGAACTCTCCAGCGAGCGGCTTCGCTCCGATGACAGGCTCGCCGGAGCCCCTGTAACACTAACCAGACACTGGAAGCTTTTACAGAGGCAACGTATACAGGGATGCCATTAATCTCTCTCCTAGTATAAAATGCTCCCTTTTACAGTAGTCCTTTTGTATCCAACTGAAGCATAAACTTAGCATAGATAATGCTGGTACAATAAAGAGCAGGAGGTATTCAATACAAGAGGAAGAACAACAAAAACACGCACATACACGGGACAAAAAGAGACCAGAGCGACTGAGAAACACAGTTGCCCACAGAGACTGCAAAATGTTGCTGTTAACCTCAGTATTCTACAAAAACTATGAAGTTGGTTAACTTTTGTTAACAACCATCCCTAAAGGAAGGAGATGAAAGACTTCACCTCCATTTTTAACACTCATGCTTTTTTTTTGACAGCACACAGGACAAAGCTGCAATATAAAGTGGATGAGAATGGACACAACTCTAGATGATATGCAAATTCATACTGAATTCATATTTTTGCTTAAAACTACAAGTTACTGACTTGATGCTGAAATCCAAGGCAACACTACAGCCCTTTATGCAGGTCAGCAGATGACAAGGCCCTTCTGTGTTTAAAACTTACGAAAGGGTTGTTTATATTTGTTAGAAAACCGCATGACATCTCCTCTAAATCCTGAGGAAATAATCTGTTAAAAACTCCTGTAAAGTGTGGTCCCAATAAGTAGCATTTCGGAAGTACAGCCCATTTACTCCCCCTTGTGTCAAACGCTGTCAACTACTTTGAATTTGATAGATTTACGATGCATCTGCACTTGAAATGCAATTGTGCGGGGAGGCTGATCTAGCTAGTGCAAATGTGGCAACCTCAGCTCCAGCAGAGGCCAGCAAACCTGTACAGAGACACAAGTCTCTACCTTTGTGCTTTGGGCCAAACCCCCCCTTTTTTTCCTCCTTCCCTCCACAACTACGGTGACCATGGATTAAAAATGTTTAAAATACAGGTGGGCAAGGAGCACTAATCAGTTTTCCAAAAAATATTCTTCTGATTTTTCAAGGAAAAAAAACCAAACTCCCAGAGACAATAGGGTCCTGAACACGAAAAGAAAACGGGTTACACTCTGAAACTGGATCAAAACCACAAGAGAGGAACTCAAAGTAAGTGGTCTCATAATAACATTATAACAACATTACACATTCATATAGGTGAAAATAAGGGGAACATCTTCTTTCCATACCATGGAAATCTTTCCTCATTCACATATTCACATATATTCCAACAAAAAGCCCTGTTTTTAACAAATGTTGTTTTATGAGATAAACATTCTATTTTCTCTACCATGATATATTCCTGAATCAATCTCTTATTTAAAACAGTGTGTTTCTTTCCCAATTATAATTTGTCCAGGGAACAATATCTCATATATTTGCAAACTGCAGGTATGTGGAAAGCTAGAGAAGCATTTATTTTGAATAGAAGTTGAGAATCAGGATTTGTGTGGCTAAAAATGCAGATTTATCAATTTAAAATACTTATGTTACACTAACAATTTAGCTTGATGGTATATGTAGTTTTCTCAGACTTTACTCATTTTAGCCAAGGTAGCAAAACTAGACCTTTTAAAAAACCCCTCAGCACTGCACTCCTATAAAAAAGCACAGCAAACAACAAAACGAACAAAGAGCACCCTCCAAAATCACCATAGCCAAAACCAAACCTCCTACATAAGCAGTTTACCTTGACAGGAATATCATCCTCCTGATTTGCAGTTTCTGCAGTAAAGACATAGGATATTTCTTTATGCGACGTCGTCTGCCTGCAGATGGCACATTTAATGGAGCTGCGGCGGGTGCCCACGCTGTACTGCTCGATGATGATGGCTATGCACTCGTTACAGAAGCAGTGTCCGCATGTCAGCACTGCCCACTACGCAAGGAATTAGGAAAAACACAACCAAAATTCCACTATCACTTTCACATGAACACAAAAGAACAGTGTGCTTATGCAGCATTAACTTACATTTTCACAGAAACATTATTTCATTAAACTCAGATTAAAATGAAGAATTTTAGAAATGTTTTCACCACTACAGCTGTTAAGAAGCCTAGATTTCAAAATTTACCAAGTGAAAGGGAGTAATCATCTGTAGAAGTTCTCTGCATTTATTGTTCATTTTTTGTTCATTTTTTTCCATTTTTGCAAACAAGAATTACAGCCATTTATATATGAACGCAGTCTTAATGCACAGGTCAAATGCACAGCAAATATTTGCAATGTATTTTTAAACAAAATAATACAAATATTTGCACTGGCCACTTGTAAACACTCAGATTCAATCTTTATAAAAATTTCTGAAAGAAAATGCCTTAATTTTTTGCATATTAAGTCCTATGCACTACCTTTGAAATTAAAAATGAATTGAAGAAGATATTATACAGAGAATCTTATTTTCCCCCCACAGAACACAAGCAAATGCAAAAACTGTGTTGCAGAAGCTGTCCTTCCTTCAACGTGCTAGCCCACCTACGGTGCACTTGTAAAGCGTGGTTTTGCAGTTAGAAATGGTCTTTATCCTGTACTACACACTGCTGTACGTAACCAACAGACAAAAAGCCTGATAAAACTTCCTTGCAACAGGATGACTATTATCATCAAGTGGCAATCTCAGCCTTATTTAAAAAAAAAAAAAAAAGTTTTCCTTTTAGGAAGCTTCTCCACCTCTGAGATGGCACAGGGCAAACAACTGCTCTGTAAAAGAACCTGCGTGGCAGGAGAGGTTTAGAAATGCGGCAGGAAACCAGCTCATGTGTCATGCCTGGAACGCTAGCTAAAGTGAAAATACCTTAAATAGTTTTTTTTTAAAAAATGCCTAAAAAGAGCCAGATTAGTTTGACTGCACAGGAAACCTTGCATGTTTTTTAACTAATTGATAATCAAGTGTTAACTACAGTACATTACAGAAAGAGTCTTACTTTCTTTTACTATAAAGCTCAGGCTTATGTCAAGAAAATTTAACATAGAAATGGCTCAGATCTAGGTAAAGACTCTACAAAAGTGAAAAATGTTGACTGAACATCTTACCTGTTTTCCCAGTTGACGTGCACAGATTGGGCATGGTTCTGGATTAACTCCTCCAGTAGTTTTATCTTGAGACTATAAAGTAGGAAAAAAAAATAGCACCATTTTTATTTCAACAAATAAAATGTTATTCTCTTTAAAAGAAGCTACTTGGAAAATGAATGCTGAAGTCAAAAACGATGGGAGAAGAGACCTGCAAATTTCTAAAATATTACGCAGGAAGAAATAAGGGAATTTAGGAGCTACTAAATATTTAACCTGAAGTCGTTATATAAAAGGATTGCTGTTCATACTGCAGTCCTTCAGACAGTATCTGCATCTTTATGCTTTATTTAAGCATTGACGCACTTACTTGGACACTATGATTAAGTAATGTAACATAGAATTTAACCTATAATCCTATTCATGTGTGTTTCAGAAGCCAAGTTCTTTGTATACACATATCAAGGTCTATCATTTTACAAGGCATCTACTGAATGCAGACCAGTCACTTTAATGAAGATTTTCACCATCTAAAACTATTCCATAGTTTTATAACTAAAGAAATGGACAAAACATGTAAGGTAATAATACTGACTATGCAATAAACCCAAAAAACACACTGAATTTCAACATGTAGTGAATCTTTATAGAAAAAAACATTTTCTTGAAAAAAATCTATTTTAAGTGAAAACATAGGCAGTTTTCTTCCACTTCAGTTTAGCAAACATCAAGAAACAATAAATCTCACCTTCTCCAAATTAGTGAGATACAGAAGTTGTCCTAATTTCTTCTGAAGCTGCGATTTGGCAACTGCCTTGTCATTCAAAAGTTTCACTCGATTTTGCTCTACCTATCAAAACAGCATTAAACGAATACATACAAACAAGAAATGAATACTTAAGTTTCTAAGTGAGGCTTAAATACATTTTTTTTTCCAAATTTAAACCAAATAATATACTGGGAACAGCTCATTCTGTAAATTCAGCCTGAGTATTTCCCCCAGCAAAATGTCTATGAACTCCTTTTCTGTATCCAGTAGAAATACAGAACAGAGAAGGGACTGAGGCAAGAAATACCCATACAGCTACTTCCCTAGAGAAAAGCAGTATTTTGGTCTAACAGACAATCTCATAGAAAAAAAAATAGAAAACTTTTGTTTTTGTTGAAAACATGTTTTTCTATCATTGAGAAGGGAAAAAAAAAATCTCTAAGGCTGCTAAGGAATTCAAAAGTGCTGAAAAATGCTTTTCTTTCTTAGTTTTCACTGCTGCTTGAATCCTTAGAGAGGACAAAACAGGTGAGAAGTCATGTCAATTTAATCTTCCACCAGCTTGGAAAATTGAAGTCATAGAGAGGAGTCCCACTGCTCCTTGTTTAGTGTGGAACAGAATAGCCTTTTGGAAACATGTTGCTCTCACAGCCAGAAGACAGAGAAAATATATCAAGGTAGTAGTTCTAAGCTCCAAAAGGCCCGGACACTACATGTAAAAGTACATAAGAACTGTTCTGTCACCTAGACTTTCAGCAAATAAAACAGACATGCTGCATATGAACAGATACAGATATTTATTTTACTTTTGTAGGACGCAGGAATCTAAAAAAAGCTGCTTTATTCTTTCAGAACAAAAAACCACCTCTTTCTCGCCAAGTACTCTACCTCGTGTGGTTCTATAATGTGGAGAAGTGGCGGGTTTGGTTTGGGCTCATCAGGATGACGCACTCTCAGCCGCTCTGTAGCCATTGCTAGTTCATCAATAGCAGACACATGATCCCTCAGCACCATCCAATATTCATGAAGCAACTAAAAGGAAAGCCTAGACTAATTAGTAGCAGAATTCTTGAGTTAGCCTTATTTGCCCCCTACTTAGACAGCATAATGTGAAGATTCTTTTGGAGTAAGGGATAAGGTTGTAGCAATTCAGCAATAAGAAAAATTATGAAGGAAAACTAGACCAGTACCTAAATGATCTTACCTGCTGTCTTTTCCAGCATCTCTTTATGAAAAAATAGTTGTTTCTCACATTTTTTCCTACAGCTATTGGAGCAAGAAATTTAAAGTTCAGAAATCAAAATGCCCAGGACTAAGCACCAGGAACAAAGACTATACATTTTTTAAACACCTAATTAACATGACAGTAAGGCGGCAGCTTGAAGGTGATGTATTAGCTCACTTCTTTCTTTAAAAAGATTTTTTTTCTGATATTAACAGTTGTATGTTGAGTGTTCTTGATGACAAAGGAACAGACAGGAGTGACGTGATTAAATTCTCTGAACAAAAGTAATTGCTGGCATAAAAGAAATGGCTAAGACTGGAAGTATGCTATACATATAAATTGACAAATCTTGGTATTATTTTAAAAACTGATAATACTATATCATACTTCTTCCCAAGGAAGTTTTCTACATTTTTTAAGTATTGCACCTAAATACAGTCTTACTGAAATTTTAAGACCTTTTGCAAACTGTTTTGCAAAGGCCAAAAGTTATTGATGATGAAAATACTTGTTCCCTAATTGCAGCAGAAATATCCCCACCATGTAGTCTAAGCATCAGTAGCTGTTTACCTTGCATTATTTTCTTCCACGCAACAAGCCCAGGACGCAAAATACTGAAGCTCAGGAGCAGCAAGGGTTAATATTTTTCAATCAGCATTTTGGTACCATAATCAAATAACTTACATTTTTGCTGCTTTCAGAAGGTCATTATCTATTTAATAATTTTAACTATCAGATATCTAAACATTGATTAATGTCAATTTATTTACAAGGTTTTTACATTGTGTCAACCTTTTCTAAAAAAAAATAAGAAAAAAGGTAGCTGTAGTTTCACATTTAAAAGCAGCACCCCAGCCCCATTCCAATTTGAGGCACATAGGTGATCAGTAAATAAGTTTGCTAAAAAACAAAGATGGCCTGAGTTCAGTTAGTTTAGCTATCTTGGACTAGGTGAGTATCTTTTTCTCTAGAATATCTTTTCTTCTTCCATGGACTAGATATAGTGCCAAAAACTTCGTTCCTGGATGGCAAACTTCTTACAGAAGTAGCTCTCCTTTTTCCAAAGTCTCCTATGAATAATGACAACTCTCTTGACTCATGAAACAAAACGCTTGGGAGAAAGGCCACAGAGACAAAAAAAAAAAAAAAAAAAAAAAAAAACAAAAAAAAAAACAACAACTTGCAAGGAGCAGGGGTTTGCTCAGATGTCAGCCCACAGAAGATGAGTGCATAAAGGAACCACAAAGGAGATAATCCTGACAGCAGTGTAGCAAGAGTAACATACTGAAGTGGAAATATATGTAAATCAAAAAGAAGGAGAAGGATTTAAGAGAAACCATTTCTGATTACATTTATGTATAAAACAGGATGAGACCCTGTGCCCCAGTTCCTCTCCCTTCTCCATCACTGTTACTTGCAAAAATGAAGCCTGGCATACACCTTCATATTCCCAGGCCAGAAGAGACTAATGATTTCAGGTTACATTGTGTAGCACAGTTTGTTGTGCTGCAGTCTACTGGAAGTGAAAAAATCTTTACCTAGCCCAAGACAGAACGTGAACTAATTAAAGAACAGACCAGAATTGAACTGAATTAAAGAACAGCACTGGATTTGTTGATTCCTGTCACATTCTGATAAAACTAGGACCAGGAAAACAGATCTAATTATATCAGTATACTTTCCTAATAGATTAATTTATAGTACTTATGAATTTGCTTAACAATCACTAAAAGAGCTCTACTGGCTACTAAACCTTTTTTTTTTTTTTTTACTAAATTGTTTAAAGGACTGTGTAAACGCTTTGCATAAGTAAACCCCAATTTCAGACAACAACTTAGATTTGTTCATACATAAAATGCACCACGCAAATGTTTTTCCACAGCCTCATTTGCTGTACCTTATATTCCTTTTTCCACGCCTCGAAGAGCTCCAGAAAGAGGCTGCCTTCCTCAGTGAGCCTGGCGTCCATCCGGTGCGCTTTGGCAAAGGAGAGAACGGCTTTCAAGGCACGTTCCGTTTCACTGGTTGCCCACAGCCCTCGACTTGTGGTCGGTAGACGGTCATCAACGAGACCTTCTTCATCTTCTATCATCTCTTCAAATATAGCCATCTGGCCTTTAACACTTGGAAATAAGCCCAACATAGTTTTCATTACTTATTTTATACTTTCTTATCCATTTCTACATATTCATCATATACTTCAGTCTTCTAGCATTTCATTAAAGGAAAAAGGAAAACAAAACAAGACACACACACATACCATTCATAGAGCTGTTCTATTACTTGATATTCTGAAACTTGCTTAGAACACAGTGAATTTGCTACCAGAAATCTCTGTACAAGACATTTTGTCAGCTCAAAGTCATCAACTTTTGCAAAGGCTTATGCATTTTTTTTCCAGTGGTTATAAAGGATTCTGCAACTATCACATACATTAAAACACTTTGCAAGTCTGACTTCTTAAATGAACATGAGAGTTGCAGTCAAAATCTGATGCAAAGACTGCTGCTGAGCATTAGACCATTTAAGAAATCTACAGCTTCCCAGTTCCCTTTTGACAAACCACACCAATTCAATCATTTTAGACATATTGGTCTTTAATTCTGTAATAAGATTGTTCTAAACAATCTGAAGTAGAAAATATAAAACAGTAACTTTCATTTTTAGTTTTCTAGTATGAAAAGTTTATAAAACTATGAACTTACGTGTGAGAAAAGAGCTTTGACTCATATTCTGTGAACAACTCGTCAGCTTTACAAAAGACACAACTGCAATACAGAAGAAAACAGAAGCACTCAGAATTTGACCAGAAAACAAAGCGATTCCTAAAAAGCGCTACTTCAACAACTATAAACACAAACCAAGTCCTTAAAAAAAGTCTCATACATAACACTTGATACAAATGACTGCCAAAGATTTTATAAAAATAAGGTCATGTGTCTTAACAACTGCATCTGTCATGGCTGTCCAAATATAAATCTTTACTCTAGATTAAGGATACTATTCTTTTCTTTCTTCTCCTATTTCAAAGGAAAATACACCTTTAAAATACATTTCATTTTCTAGACATACTTGTTAAGTGGAAGCCTCACAGGTCGCAAGTGGCAGATAGTGGCAGCCTCAATGACCTGCTTAGAGGGAGGGCCTTCTAAATTTTTCACTGCTTCTCTTACAGTCTTCTGGAACTTCTTCACTTCATCCAGCTGGGTTGTGAGCAGGTACTGAAGGCCTCTGCAGTCACGGAATCTGATTTAAAGAAAGAGCGAAGTCACAGCGCATTGAATCACCGGGACAAAATTGAAAGAGTAGAGAAACAACTTTATATTGTCCTTTAATTTATACCTTGAAAATGCTTACTATGACATGCCATGTTAGCTGGTAGAGATCAGTCCCATGTACATGTGTACAGAGATTTTGCCTGATATTCATAGAAAACAAGGACAATCCAAGAGCTGAGAGCCACAACTGTGTAAACAACCAGCAACATTATGACCCACAAGGATAATCTCCCTAAGTTCAACAAACCCTTAGCCTTATTTAATCTCTTGGACATCAAATTGACTTTCAAAGCACCCATGCAATTCATAGCAGACATGTGTAGCCACTGGGGAAAAAAAAAAAAAAAGAAAGCTATTGCATTTTGCATCTTAGCTTTCAGCTTAAAAATGATTAAATTAATATGAAAGTGAACTATTTCCCTAAAACCTCATTGTGTCTCTCAAGTAGGACTTGGAACATGGACACCAGTAAGAGCGTCTTCTATTGTACTTTTCCGGTGAACAGAGGTCTCACTGAAAACATGGTTCAGGATCTCATCTTTACAGAGTCTTATCATATACAAGACAATGTGTTGCAGGATGAGGTGGTTCTACCTCATAGAAAAAGCTTGATCTGAAACATCCCTTTTGTAAAATGAAATAAAGTTAGAAAAAAGCAAGTTCAACAAGTTCAAATTTTAAAAAGACAGAGTCAAGCAATATAAATTTTGAAATAAAATAGACAAGTTTGCTTAACATGGAAGTCTGAAAATACATGAACTACAAGTAAAAGTCTGTTGTTAATACAATCAGTTGTCAAATATTCACACATTATACTCTGGTTAATCATTTCCAATACTCATCTAGCACTGGCTCTTTCTATCACTGGCTGATAAGCTAAATTAAAGAGAAAATAACCTCAAATTTAAACAAAAAGGGCATCATTCTCAAATGGTAGTTCACAATTTCAGCCAAATTAAATACATAAAATATCTAGTTAAATCTAATAGTTGGCAAAGGCTTCCCATCTTTTGAGGTCATGGTAGCAGAGTAAGCAAATTGGAGTCTTTACATGACTTTATTTCTGCACACACACACGCAGACTCTCCCCCAGTAATATGTATCTCACTGAAATAAGGGCAAGAGGCAATGGAGACAAGATACAGGATACACTGATTTAACAAAAGGAAAAATTCTTCACCGAGTGTGGGTCAAAGTTTGGAAAATGGAAGTATTTGGGTAATACCAGAGAGCAGCAGTTCCAATAGAATTTGGTAGTACTGTTGTTTCCAATACAGAATTCTTTGGTCAGAAAAAACAGTAACACTATATTATGTTGTATCCAAGGATGTACTATAGCTTGATCATTTCCTATATATGTAAGTCAGTTTATTTTAGAGGTTACTCAATCATAATGCAATAAACTTTGAATTATTTTTTGCTCAGCAGTTGCACAGATGCAGAAAATCATGAAACCATCATAGATAATTCATAGGAGAGCATCCTAAAGAAAGCTTGTCTAGACAAAAACTGAAATTTCTCTTGCTTTTAAAGTTTCCTATTTAATTATCTCTCCTCTTTTTTGGAGTGCTTTTGAAACTAATTGCAGCCCAGATGGTCTGAA